GGATCCATCAGCACATACTTCCTCCATTATGAACACATAAAAAGCCCAGACTCAGCCAGACTCACACACTCAATGAGACAACCTGCCTATGGATAGCAGCTACCCACTCTGGGTCTCCTCTCCATTGAGAGCTGCACACTTGATGGAACATCCTGCCTGCAGAAAGGAGCTACCCACTTTGGGGCTCCTGAGAGCTGTTCTGTGGCTCAACGAAGCTCCCTTCTGCCTTGTTTACCCTCCAACTATCCACGTACTTCATTATTCCTGGACATGGGACAAGAACTAGGGACCTGCCGAATGGTGGGACTGAAAAAGCTGCAACACAAATGGACTGAAGCACTCACCATCCCTCTGCCACTCTTCCCACTTGCCACGTTATAGGCAAAGAAAAGAAGAGCTGCGGTCCTTCTGAGAGTCCAGACATAAGGCCTCCCCAAGCCAGGGCTGTGACATGCTATAACACCACTTTGAGGCTTCGGGATCACTGGCGCCTCCAGGTTTTTCAGATGCCACTGCATTCCCCTCACCCAGATGCCAGTGCTCAAGCCAGAGGCAGGTTATGGTATGGCTGGCCCAGCTGTGAGCAGAGTGCAGATCCCATGGAAAGAGTGGGATCTGGGCCAGAGCACAAGCCAAGAGCAGCCCTCTGGGCTGAGGGGATCAGGTATCTCCTGTGGTGATCCTAGGGTGGAGTGAGGTCCTGGACAGGGTTGTCACTAGCCATGGAGGTCTCCAACTGGCAAAGCAGCACCAAAAAAAATCCTGTGTCGGGGCTAGGTGCGGTGGTTCACATCTATAATCCCAGCAGTTTGGGAGGCCAAGGCAGGTGGATCATGAGGTTAGAAGTTTGAGACCAGTCTGGCCAATATAGTGAAAACCCATTTCTACTAAAAACTACACAAAATTAGCTGTGTTTGGTGGTGTGCACCTGTAATCCCAGCTACTTGGGAGGCTGAGGCAGGAGAACCCAGGGTGTGGAGGGTGGTGAGCCAGGATCACACCACTGCACGCTAGCCTGGGCAATAAGAGTGAAACTCTGTCTCAAAAAAAAAAAAAAAAGTTCGAGCTGGGTATGATAGTCCACACTTGTAATCACAGCACTTTGGGAGGCTGGGGTAGGAGAATTGCTTGAGCCCAGGAGTCCAAGACCAGCTTGGGCAATGTAGCAATATCCTGTCTCTATAAATAAATAAATAGTGCCTTGCATAAAGAAGATACTTAAGAAATGGAAATTATGGCCGGGTGCAGTGGCTCACGCCTGTAATCCCAGCACTTTGGGAGGCTGAGGCGGGTGGATTGCCTGAGCTCAGGAGTTCAAGACCAGCCTGGGCAACACAATGAAGCCCCATCTCTACTAAATTAGAAAAAATTAGCCAAGCATGGTGGCGTGTGCCTGTAGTCCCAGCTACTCGAAAGGCTGAGGCAAGGGAATTGCTTGAACCCAGGAGGCAGAGGTTGCAGTGAGCCAATCATGCTACTGCACTCCATCCTGGGTGACAGTGTAAGACTTCGTGTCCCCTGCAAAAAAAAAATTTTTTTTTAATGAAATTATTAGGTATTTAGGACATGGTGTAAAAAGGATTATTCCAAAGAGAAGTTTGTCATTCTTGTTAGATACATTTTTAAAGACTGAGAAACATGCAGCTTCAAGTGAGACTATCCTGCTTTTTACTCTGAAGAATGTTAATTTCTGGGGCTGGGTGCGGTGGCTTATACCTGTAACCCCAGCACTTCGAGAGGCTGAGGAGGGAGGGTTACTTAAGCCTAGGTGTTTGAGACCAGCCTGGGCAACACAGTGAGACCTCATCTCTACTAAAAATAAAAAGATTAACCAGTATGGTGGTGCGTGCCTGTGGTACCAGCTACTGAGGAGGCTGAGGCAGGAGGATTACTTGGGACTGGGAGGTTGAAGCTACTGTGAGTCATGATCACACCACCTCATTACAGCCTGGGCCAGAGAGAGACTGTCTCAAAAAAACAACAAAACAAAACAAAAAGTAAATTCTGAATGGTGATTCTCCTTGTTCATGTATATGTTCCCACGTAGTTCTCTGCAGGTTCCCAAGACAGTTTCCTTTAAAACAAAGTAATAGCTTGCACATTGCCTGGTCCATTATTTCTTTTGCCCTTGGTTCAGGTGACCTCTGCTCTGTTTCTCTGGCGCCAGGATTAACCAGTGGGTCCATGGTTCAACATGAAATTGTTCTTACTGTTTAATGTAGCCTAATGCTGGTTTTAAATACTGAGATGGTTAAAGTGATACTGAATAGTTTGCTTTTTTGCTTTTGTTGATACTTGTTTGCTATGATTCATCAGACTCTTATTACTTGAACAGATAAATAAGAATTTCAGTTACGTTATGTTCTGTGTTTTCTTTTCTTTTTCTTTTTCTTTTTTTTTTTTTTTTTTGAGACAGAGTCTTGCTGTCACCAGGCGCCAGGCTGGAGTACAGTGATGTGATCTCAGCTAACTGCAATCTCTGCCTCCTGGGTTCAAGCAATTCTCCTGCCTCAGCCTCCCTAGTAGCTGGGACTACAGGCGCATGCCACCACACCCAGCTAATTTTTGTATTTTTTAGTAGAGATGGGGTTTCACCATGTTGGCCAGGATAGTCTCCGTCTCTTGACTTCATGATCCGCTCACCTTGGCCTCCCAAAATGCTGAGATTACAGGCGTGAGCCAGTGTGCCCGGCCAAGTTCTGTGTTTTCTAAAGCAAGACCAGAACGGGAAGGCTTATGGGAGGATCAAGAGAATGAAAGGAACTGTTAAGTAATGTTTGCTTCACTTTCTATTCAAGTTTGAAATATGTAGGAATTCAGATGAAACAAATATTAGAACATGTAGGAACAAAATGTTTCAGAATATAAATACAAGACATTTTAAAGTATCTTTTTTTCCCAGTCATCCATTAAAATAAGTGTTTGGCTCATTGTCTCAGGGTCTTAACAAGATTTAGGAAGAAACTGATGGAAACAGTAACCATCCTAGAATCTGCCTTCGAGGCTCTGGTGCCAGCCCTGCCTGCTTTCTTTCAGTTCCTTGAATATAGTGAGTTTCCTCTTTTCACTTGGCTGTGGCACAAGCTAGTCTAGTTGGCTGAAATTTTTTTTTTCATTCTGTGAAATTCAGCTCAGATCTTATTTCCTCAAGAAAGCCTCAGAGCTTCTCCCCCTGGGTAGGTCGGATTACATTCTCTGGGCACCCTGAGCTGCTTCCTCATCGATAGAAAACATTTTCATCATAATTGTGTGCTCCGTGCAGGAGGGATATGTCTAGTTTACTCAGGCTCTAAGCCATGCACCAAAGCAGAGCACATGGTAGACACTCAATAAATATCTGTTGAATGAAGTCAACATATATTAAGTACCAAGTGCATTGCTTCATTTACTCCTCATCATAACCTTTTAGGTAGATACCCCCATTTGCAGATGAAAAAATAGGTAAGTTGCTCAAGGTGACAGAGTCAACCAATGACACAACCAGGACTTGGCCAGGTCACTTTGATGCCAAAGCCAGTGTTTTATTTTGTCTTTTACTTTCTTTGTTGCAAGCAGTTATTCCACTGAAAATCCAGTATTTTAAGCATTGTACTATATGGTCTCTGACAGGAAAACAGGCAGGGTCTGATAAAAATCCAGCGAAATGCAGATTTCTTCCTAAATCTTGTTAAGACCCTGAGACAGTGAGCCAAATGCTTATTTTAATGGCTGACAAAAAAAAAAAAGAAAAGATACATTAAAATGTCTTATATTTATATTCTGAAACATTTTGTTCCTAAGTGTCCTAATATTTGTTTCATCTGAATTCCTACATATTTCAAACTTGAATAGAAAGTGAAGCAAATATTACATAATAGTTGCTACCTAATAGAGCAATGGGGAGGGCAGACAGGACCCTAGAGATTGTCTGGCCCCTGGCAACATTATGTGAGCTCTGCTCAGGCTGTGCCTGAGGCTTTCTGCCCATATGATTTTCACTGATTTGAGTTGTTGGAGTCCTTTTTCTGCTTAAGCCTGTTTGGATTGGGATTCTGTCGCTTAGGATCAAAGGATTCTTTTTTTTTTTTTTTTTTTTTTTTTTTTTCAGTGCATGTTTTCAACTGTGCTGTTTGAAGGATTCTTAACCAATACAGGACCTAAAAGACATTGGACATGTTTTGCCTTTTTTTCTTCTCCCTTTTTCACGGGCTGGTGTCATTTCCTCAGGCTTTTAAAATGATTATAAATGTGTGTTCTCTGGGCCCAAGGAGGAAAGCAGTAAGAAGGTGTTACGGCAGCAGTGACTATCAAAGAAGATTTTGTGGTTTGTGGAGTCAGGGCTTCTAAGACTTGCTCAGTAACTTGTGGAATGACTGTATGAAACTTCATTTATTTACTTTTCTCCACCTCAGTTCTGTCTGTGAAAAGTGAGGGTAACATTTGCCACACCACTGAGACAAGAGGGAATTGATAAGGCTGTGCCTAGGACTTTGTATTTTGGTATTATTTTTCAATGTCATGACATTTCACCATTTCAACCTGTGGCTTTTCGTATTTCTCAATCACTAGACTGACCTAACCAATAGTGAGATGGGCAGATTAAGGAGGTTCCTATTCAGGGGAGATGACAGAGGAAGGAGATTCATGTTCCAGAGCGTAGGAAGCATTAGATGTGCACTGAACCTCACTGCATCAGTAACTTTGCATGTCCAAGAGATAGTTAAAATAGTAAGTTTCCTTTCTTTCTGCTCTGTGGATTTTACAAATGGGATCTTTAAACTTGAACTTTTTTGCTTTTTTAAAGTAGCCAAACATGATCACATGATGGACTTGAACTTTTCAAAACCCATTCTGATACTTCCAAGATTGCTTTGTCTAAAATCCATTAGCTGTGTTTATAGTTGCCTGGCTGTCTAAAGAAAAATCTGTATGTTTAAAAAGCTAAAATTTTCACAATGAAGGAAAAACCTCCCAGAGAAATTAAGAAAAAGGAAACCAAGCCAGCAAAGAAATGAACCATATTTCTGTTCCTAACATGAATGTGAATTTATTGGTTGATTTGATACTTAAAATAGTACTTTTGCAAAATCATCTCAGAAAATATAATACATTTATTAAAACTCATACAAACCATTGCAGAATATATTAAACCCTCTAACCAACCTAACACTTGCTTTCAGAGGCACTTGTGATGATTTTCACAGCTTCCATAGTTACAAAGAAGAAAGAAATCATCTTGGAACAGGGGTGGAATTTGATGAGAATAATCCAAAAAAGATTTGTTTACTTCTTTTCAGACTCACAGATTGCTTGATGACTAGGGGCTCCTACATAGTACACCTAATTATTAAAGGTTTTTCTAATAATGGGCTTTTCATTGCCTAAAATCTATTATATTCAGCAAAGTATGTGCTAGATAATAAGGAAAATGAACCCAAGAATCTTAACCGCCTCAAATAGTTTTATGGATATACTAAAGTGTCAAGTACAATCTTTATCTTAAGACTTGAGAACTGGAATGCAAGAAAACAAACTTTGGTGCAGTACTGGGATAAAAGACAGAAAGCTGGGCAGGACTAGGTGTGACAGCCTTGTATGTTAATTCTGAAAGCCAGAATTAAGAACAACAATTAGGTTCAGATTTCTTTTTCAGAAACGTGTGCTATTTTGGCCAGCGCAGTCTTCTGCCTGTAATCCCAGCAATTTGAGAGGTCATGGTGGGAGAATCACTTGAGCCCAGGAGTTCAAGACCAGCCTAGGAAACATAGTGAGACCCTGTCTCTGTATGTTGTTGTTGTTGTTGTTGTTGTTGTTGTTGCTGTTTGAGACGAAGTCTTGCTCTTGTCGCCCAGGCTGGAGTGCAATGACATGATCTCAGCTCACTGCAGCCTCCACCTCCCGGGTTCAAGAGATTCTCCACCTCAGCCTCCCCAGTAGCTGGGATTACAGGCACCTGTTACCATGCCCGGCTAATTTTTTTTTTTGTATTTTTAATAGAGATGGGGTTTTGCCATGTTGGCTAGGCTGGCCTCCTGATCTTGTAATCTGCCCGCCTCAGCCTCCCAAAGTGCTGGGATTACAGGTGTGAGCCGCTGCGCCGGGCACCCTGTCTCTGTTTTTAAAACACAGTTTAAAAGCAAAAAGGAAAAAAAAAAAAATCTGTGCTGTTTAGGCTTAGATTTTTAATTAGCTAGTATTTCTTAATTCAGTGAATTATTAAGACCCTTTCACTGCTCCCTTTTTAAAGTCTTCTTTTGAGTGATTTAACTGCTTCTTATCACCAAGCTCTCAAAGAGAAGATGAAATTAAAATCTGATGGGTAACCATTTAAATAAGACAGCTGGGGTGGCTGATTTCTCCAGGACTCTTCTCTGCCGCAGGGAGCTATTCTCTTTCTTTTGCCTAGTAAACTTCTGCTCTAGCCTTAAAAAAAAATAAAAAAATTAAAAAAAAAAGGCAATTGGAAAAAAAATTTCAAGTCAATGAATAAAATAAGATTTGGGAATGATGGTAGATACTAATTATGAAAGTTCAGTGTTTCCTTTGAAGAGGGAGTTGAAAGCTGTTTTTTTTGTTGTGAATTCTTTGGGCGACAATAGAAAATGGCTAAATAGGATATAACAGAAACTTTTAAGGATGGAATTCAACTTTACCTAAAAAAGATTTCAGGCCAGGCGCGGTGGCTCACGCTGGGAGGCCCAGGCACGCAGATGACCTGAGGTTGGGAGTTCACAACCAGCTTGACCAACATGAAGAAACTCTGTCTCTACTAAAAATACAAAATTAGCCAGGTGTGGTGGCACATGCCTGCAATCCCAGCTACTCAGGAGGCTGAGGCAGGGGAATTGCTTGAACCTGGGAGCAGAGGTTGTGGTGAGCCAAGATCGTGCCGCTGCACTCCAGCCTGGGCAACGAGCAAAAACTCCGTCTCAAAAATACAAAACAAAACCAAAAAACAAAAAAAGATTTCTCTTCTCCCATTTAGCATTTTAAATGTAAAACTGAGGCTTTACATTCTTTGAGCCATTCAGCTCTTTACTGCCAGCTCACACTATTTCACAGCATATCCATAGATATGAGGGCGCACCAACTCCCAGGACAGGGGGGCCTGGATGTGCTGCAGATTCAGCCTAGAGAAGTTGGCCCGCTCCAGGGCCTTCCAGCTCTCTCTCGTCAGATTGCACCCATCAAACAGAAGGTACCAGGTAGGATCCAGGACCTGTTGCCAGAAAGAATTCCAAGTCGAACGCTCAGCTGCCACATGCTCCATGAAATAAAAAGCCCCTCCCTGAGAAAGAAGGAAAAAAACCACACATTTCAAAGATTTTTTCATTTCTGCTTTTTTTTTTTTTTTTTTTTTTTTTTTAATTGTTCCCTGGTACTGCCTTGCAAACCTTTGAGACAACCGTAGAATTCTGAGCAGGAGAGTCACTCCACACTAAGCACATCCTTGAGACTAAATAACCATGTTTGTTTGTTTGTCTGCCTGAGACAGAGTTTTGCTGTTGCTGCCCAGGCTGAGTGCAGTGGCACGATCTCGGCTCACCACAACCTCTGCCTCCCGGGTTCAAGCGATTCTCCTGCCTCAGCCTCCTGAGTAGCTGGGATTACAGGCATGTCCCACCATACCTGGCTAATTTTGTATTTTTAGTAGAGATGGGGTTTCTCCATGTTGGTCAGGCTGGTCTCACACTCCTGACATCAGGTGATCCACTCGCCTTGGCCTCCCAAAGTGCTGGGATTACAGGTGTGAGCCACCGCACCCAGCCTTAAATAACCATGTTTTTAACTTTTGTATCATTTTCACAAATAAGTACATGATATGATTAATGAAAATACAGATACATCTAAAATCATTACTGAATTCAAGATAACATTTTCTCATTAGGTAATCTATCAGTGATACTAAATGTAAATTACTGCTTGTAGGAATTAGCAACTGCTGCTTTCATCAAGGAGTCCTATAAAGATTGGTCAAGTAAGGCCAGGCGCAGTGGCTCCTGCCTGTAATCCCAGCCCTTTGGGAGGCCGAGGTGGGTGGATCACTGAAGTCAGGAGTTTGAGACTAGCCTGACCAACATGGAGAAACCCTGTCTCTAAAAGAAAAAAAGATTGGTCAAGTATAGGCACAATAGATGTTATTACATGTTGTGGGGTCGTGGGGGGGACCGTCTTCAGAAGTTTTCTACCAACTACCTCTGAGGGGAGTAGGGAGAGAGGGACCAGACGGTCACCTCAAAAAATTGTGGTAACTGCCCCACTCTTCTTGGCCTCCTCTAACTATTCTAGTCTTGGCCCCTTAGGCAGATTTTAGAGACAGAGTTCAGTTTAGAGATGGAGTTCCCCCAAATTATATGGGTAAGTGCAAGACCTAGGTTAAGAATAGGAAAATTGGAATTTCCTGATTTATTATTTCTTTTTTAAAAAAAATCAGGTCAAGACGCGGTGGCTCATGTCTGTAATCCCAACACTTTGGGAGGCCAAGGTGGATGGATCACTTGAGGCCAGAAGTTGGAGACCAGCCTGGCCAACATGACAAAACCCTGTCTATACTAAAAATATAAAAGTTAGCCAGGTGTGGTGGCATGTGCCTGTAATCCCAGCTACTCAGGAGGCTGAGGCAGGGAGAATCACTTGATCCCGGCGGGTAGAGGCTGCAGTTAGCCAAGATTGTGCCACTATACTCCAGCCTGGGTGACAGAGCAAGACTCTGTCTCAAACAAACAAACAAAAAAAAAACGGAATATTTGCATTTGCATTAAAGAGAGCCAGATCTACTACCTGTGTGACTTTGGGCAAATTCCTTAATCTCTCTGAGTCTAACATGTCCTAACATTTCTACTTTAGAGGACTGTTGAGAGAGGGTTAAATGAAAATGTAATAAAGTTCCCAGCCGGGCCAGTGGCTCATGCCTGTAATCCCAGCACTTTGGGAGGCTGAGGTAGGTGGATCACCTGAGGTCAGGAGTTCAAGACCAACCTGGCCAACATGGTGAAACCCCGTCTCTACTAAAAATACAAAACAATAGCCAGGCATGGTAGCATGCGCCTGTAATGTCAGCTACTCGAGAGACTGACGCAGGGGAATTGCTTGAACCAGGGAGGTGGAGATTGCAGTGAGCCGAGATCTCACCACTGCACTCCAGCCTGGGCAACAGAGCAAGACCCTGTCTCAAAAAAAAGAAAAGAAAAGAAAAAATGTAATAAACTTCCCTTATTATATCCAGCAGAGAGTGGGCACTTAGCAGAAGCTAAGGAAGACTATCAAGAAAGTGATACCTTTAAGAGTTGAATTGATTTTTGGCACTATATACTGAGATAATAATTACCTGCCTTGCAGGGGTGTTGTGAGATTAGTAACGCTGTAAGCAAAACATCTACTAATATGCCAGTCAGTGCCCAGTCTTAGGACATAAAAACCCAGCATTTGGGTATAAGAATCAGTCCTTTTTTATTTACTACTCTGATAGAGCCAAAGACAGGATTGTGTGATTGTCTCTAAAGTCTATCTCCAAGTTCTTTTCTTCCTGAGGAACTTCCTCTATTAGAAAATTAAACTGAAGGTCGGGTGTGGTAGCTCACACCTGAAATCCCAACACTTTGGGAGGCCAAAGCAGGAAGACCACTTGAGCCCAGGAGTTTGAGACCAGCCTGGGCAACATGGCAAAACTTTGTCTTTACAAAAATACAAAAACTAGCTGGGTGTGATGGTGCACACCTGTAGTCCCAGCTACTGGGAGGGTGGGGAGGGTGGGGAGGCTGAGAGCTTGAGCCCAGGAGGTCAAGGCTTCAGTGAGCTGTGATCGTGCCACTGCACTCCAGCCTGGGTGACAGAGGGAGAACTGTCTCAGTAAAAAAATAGACAAAACTGGGGATTACAGAACATGCCTTTCTCTGAGAATAGTAAATTCAAATGTTAACATATCCATTTAGTTAACTTTGTTCAGAATATAAAATGAGTTTAAACTAGCTAAAAATAATAAGGGTAATATGTGAAAACTACATACAGGTATAAAGAATTATAGACTTTACAGAAAGGTTTAAAATGAAAAGTAATTCTTTCCCTGAATCCAATTCCATTCCCAAGTGGTAACCACTGTTAATAGTTACTTGTCTAGGCTGGGCACAGTGGCTCATACCTGTAATCCCCACATTTTGGGAGGCCGAACTGGGTGGATTACCCGAGGTCAGGAGTTCAAGACCAGCCTGACCAACAAGGAGAAACTCTGTCTCTACTAAAAAAAAAAAAAAAAAAAATTAGCTAGGTATGGTGGCTTGTGCCTGTAATCCCAGCTACTTGGGAGGCTGAGGCAGGAGAATCACTTGAACCCGGCATGGGAGGTTGCCCTGAGCTGAGGTCATGCCATTGCACTTCAGCCTGGGCTACAAGAGGGAAACTCCGTCTCAAAAAAAGTTACTTGTCTATCATTCCCATTAACATATACACATAGATGTATGTTCTCTCTCCCCCTTACACAATGGGCACACAGTGGGCCTACACTCTACCTATCATTCTGTGCCTCGATTGCTTTTTGTTCTCATTAAACATTATCCCTTGGGGATTTTTAAATATCAGCACAGATAACTCTTCTTCTAACAGCTGCACAGTGTTCCTTTACACAACGTGACAACTCACTTACACAGCATCCTATTGATATTTAGGTTATTTCCAGTTTGTGCTATTACAAATACTACTTAATAAATATTCTTGCGTATGGACAAGTTTTTCCATGTAGGATAAATTCCCACTGGATAAAAGAGTATGTGTGCTTTAAATGTTGATGTTATCAGATATCATTCAAAGAGGGTATCTCTTCTAATGGGTATGGTGGTATCCAGTCCCCCAAACCCACCCCAGCACTATCCTGGCATTAAAAGAAGTCCCTAACTGTATAGTAGGTAAAATTAGTATCTTTAATGAGCTCTTTAATTGTAAGTTTGAGCATTTTTTGTAATATAATTGGTTTATATTTCTGTTCCTGTTATTCGCCCGTACTGATCATGTTGACACGTAATGTCTTTTAACATGAGGGAAGTTAACTCTTTGTCTGTCATCCCTGGAAAATACTTTTTCTAAGCTTGTTTTGTACTTTAACTTTGTTTTTAGGAGTTTTTCCTTTTTTTTTTTTTTTTTTTTTTTTGATACAGAGTCTCACTCTCTGGTCCAGGCTGGAGTGCAGTGGTGTAATCTTGGCTCACTGTGACCTCTGCCTCCCAGGTTCAAGAGATTCTCCTGCCTCGGCCTCCCGAGTTGTGAGATTTCAGGTGCCTACCATCATACCTGGCTTAGTTTTGTATTTTTAGTAGAGATGGAGTTTCAGCATGTTGGCCAGGCTGGTCTCGAACTCCTGACCTCAAGCAATCTGCCTGCCTTGGCCTCCCTAAATGCTGTTATTACAGATGTAAGCCTCCGTGCCCTGCCAGGAATTTTTTCTTTATAGCAGTTTTAAGTTTTTATATTCAGATTTATCAATTGTTCTCTTTATAACTTTTCTCTCACTCTGAAAAAAAATTTCAACAGTCTTTTCTAGGAGTTTACCTGTGTGTGTGTGACAAGAGTCTCACTTTGTGGCCCAGGCTGGAGTGCAACCTCTGCCTCCCAGGTTCAAGCAATTCTGCTGCCTCAGCCTCCTGAGTAGCTGGGACTACAGGGGTGTGCCACCACACCCGGCTAATTTTTGTATTTTTAGTAGAGACAGGGTTTAACTGTGTTGCACAAGCTAGTCTCGAACTCCTGACCTTGTGATTCTCCTGCCTTGGCTTCTCAAAGTGCTGGGTTACAGGCATGAGACACCGCTCCAGGCGGAGTGAGCCGAGATCATGCCGCTGCACTCCAACCTGGGCAACACAGTGAGACTCCATCTCAAAAAAAAAAAAAACAGTTTCAGCCACCTGACATTGACAGGACTGCCCGCTGTGATAATGGCTGCTACTAATCAGTCCTCCTCACACCCTTTCACTCACCGGTCTCAGCACTCTGCACACCTCGCGGAGAATCTGCTCCTGGTTCTCCACAGAGCACAGCACCAGGGTGCAGACCACCACGTCCACAGAGCCATCGGCCACCTGGTGCATGTTCTCCCCGGCAGCTACCACAAAGCGCTCAAACTGCAGGTGACGGTTCTCAGCAATGCTCTTGATCAAAAACTTCTCAAAGTTGGGGTTCGGGTCAATACAGGTCACCCTGCACCCAGGTGGGTAGAATTTGAAGTTGGTCCCCGTGCCACAGCCCACCTCCAGCAGGGAGAGCTTCCCGGAAGGGCCCGCAAACTCCTGCAGGTTGCTGAAGAGCTCCCGCTTCTTGCTTGCCATCTGTTCGTTGTACATCACAGACAACCTCACCAAGAAGTAGGGGAACCATTTTTTGCACATCCAGCTCCACAAGCCCAGAAAGTTCAGCAGGTACATGGGAAATGCCAGGATGTAGATGGCCAGTCGCAGGATAAAGATGGTAAGCTCCATTGCTCAGAAGCGGAGAAAAAACCTCAACGGATCAGCAGAGACTCGGCTCCTTTAATTGCGGGAGAGAAGCTTCTGGCCACACTCCAGAGCCAATCAGCTGCGGAGGAAAAAAAGAACGGGCTGTGCTGCAGTCAGACCGTGGGCAAGAGGCCCATTTTGCCTAATTAATAGATATTTGGCAGAAGTTAGCTCAGCTTTGTTTTCGTGGGTCAAAATGAGAAGGTTCCCAGCTATTCCTTAGAAGGAAAGTTGATTATAATCCTTCATTCCTAATCGATTCCTGTTTCCCCTTCTCGGGGTTTAGAGACGACTGCTAGCTTCCTGCTAGAGTTTTACAAGCGGTTACTTACGCCCCACTGGGCTCGTCAGTGACCTCTAAAAGAATTCGTGGGCGGAGCCTGGTGAAGCCACACCAGTAGAGGCTGCCAAGGCCCCTTCATCATAACACGTCCCCCCTTACTTCCCCCACGCCTTTTGTTTGGTTTCTTTCTTTGGTTTTCTTTTCTTTTAAAGGAAGTGAAAGGATATGCATGGCCGGCCACAGTTAGCAAGAATTCTCCCTTTTACATTCTGGGCAGAGGCTCTCAGTGTTCCTAACTCAACAACAGAATTATTTTCGTAAACCAAAAATGAAGTTTTAAGACCCTCTAACCATTTGAATGGATTTTCCCCTCGGCCAGGGTGTTCTTAAAATGTAACCTGAGGGACTGGTTCAGGCCGTGATGGGACTTGGGGGTCAGATGCCAACTTACACTTTCCCGGCAGTACCATCAACACAGACCTTAAGGGCATTTACAATCGTTTCTCTCTGAAGCTTGCTACTTGGAGGCTTCATCTGCACCATCAAACTTCTGTCTCCGCAACTCTTACTGCAACCCAGATAATCCTTTCTGTTGATCCTAGGTCTTTAGGTTAACTCAAGCAATTGTCAATCAGAAAATTTAAAAACCTACCTGTAATGTGGAAGCTCCCCACCTCGCCTTGAGTGGTCCCGCCTTTCTGGACCGAGCCAATGTTATTTCTTACATGGATTCGATTGAAGTCTCATGTCTCCCTAAAACGTATAAAACCAAGCTGCATCCTGACCACCTTGGGCACATGTTCTCAGGATTTCCTGAGGGCTGTGTCATAGGACATGGTCACTCATATTTGGTTCAGAATAAATCTCTTTAAATATTTTACGGAGTTTGACTTCTTGTCAATATTTAAAAATCACTGTCTTGAGCTGTACTCCCCCTTTTTGAAAAATTTTTGGCTCAAGGAAGTCGGTTCATGGGCTGCCCTTCTTTTAAAGGGCAAGCCTCCGTCTTCAAATTGTGTCTAACTACGCGATTACTCAGATAATTTAGATAAAAATATTCCCCCAAATATTCATATTTGGGAGCCAAAGGGATTCAGAAAATAGTTTCAAGCATCCTTCTGCTTTTTACAAGAAAGGCTGAATCTAAGCACCGTGGCGGGTGCCCGTGATCTCAGCTACTGAGGAGCTAATGCAGAAGCATACCTTCAGCCCGGAAATTCAAATCCTGCCTGGGCAACATAGTGAGAACCTATCTCTTAAAAAAAAGGCCGGGCGCGGTGGCTCAAGCCTGTAATCCCAGCACTTTGGGAGGCCGAGGCGGGTGGATCACGAGGTCAAGAGATCGAGACCATCCTGGTCAACATGGTGAAACCCCGTCTCTACTAAAAATACAAAAAATTAGCTGGGCATGGTGGCACGTGCCTGTAATCCCAGCTACTTAGGAGGCTGAGGCAGGAGAATTGCCTGAACCCAGGAGGCGGAGGTTGCGGTGAGCCGAGATCGCACCATTGCACTCCAGCCTGGGTAACAAGAGCGAAACTCCGTCTCAAAAAAAAAAAAAAAAAAAAAAAAAAAAAGACTATGAAGAAGAAGAAAGCCTGAGCTCTTGGGTGGTTAGGGAACACAGAAAAAAAATTTTTTAAATAGTAACATTTACTTTTAAAAACTGAGTGATAGATACAGGGAGTGTTCTGTTGTTTCATGATTTGTTCTACCATGCATTTATAAATAATATATCTATTCCACTTTTAACAGCTTTTTGAGGTGGAATTGATATATAATAAACTTTACATAGCTGATGTGTACAGTTTGATAAGTTTTGACATATCTCTATACCTGTGAACCCATCACTTCAGCCAAGATCGATGAACATATCCATCACCCCTGAAAGCTTCCTCTTGCTCCATTGTGATCCTCCCTTCTCCACTCCTAATCCCAAGGCAGTCAGTGGCCCGTTTTCTGTCTGTTTTTGAAAACAGGATCCAGGGACCAGGGAAGAAACTGAGCAACTCCACAGGACTGGAGATTCTAAAACCCTCAGCAAAGGAGAATGAAAGTAATTTTGTAGAGAATTTAATTCTTCCTTTTAAAATGGAGAGGCCTATGGCCACAAAGTTTGCTTGTAAGAGAAGCACCAGAGTAACCCCCAGATGTTACCATTAGCAAAATTAAATGCCTTTGGGAACCTACCTGGCTGGAGGACTTTGCCACTTATCTCCAGCTGTAGGTATTTCCTTTTGCAAATCAGATAACCTCATTATCCTGGTGACACACTCTTTTCTTTTTTCTTTTGCACTTATCTTTTGTTTTTGTTTTTGTGTAGGAAAACAGCCTGAATGTTGTTCCTGAAACTCTTTTTCAGAATTGCGAAAACAAAACAGCATTCTGGAATTCTGAGCAAAAAACCAATCCCTGGGTCACAAAGCCCAGTTGAGACAGATGAAATTGAATTTTCAGGCTAGGCGCCTTGACTCACACCTGTAATCCCAGCACTTTGGGAGGCCAAGGCTGTCAGATCAATTGAGGTCAGGAGTTTGAGGCCAGCCGGGCTGAGGTGTGAGAATTGCTTGAACCTGAGAGGTGGAGGTTTCAGTGAGCCAAGATTGTGCCAGTGTATTCCAGCCTGGGCAACAGAGTGAGACTGTCTCAAAAACATAAAAATTAAAAATAACAAATTGGTCAAATCAAATAATAGAATATTTAATTTTCAAAAACCCCTGCAAAATAAATGTACTGCTGATACATATAACAACAAAGATTAATCTTACAGATTAAAGGAAAAAAGTACATACTGTAGCATTTTATTTACATTAAGTTCAAAAACAAAGCGAACTGACATATAATGTTATAGACATTTTGGGGTTATTGACTAACAGGCCACAAAGGAGCCTTCTAGGGATATTGGAAATGTTCTATATTTTAATTTTTTTTTTGCAAGTTAAACATATATATACACATATATGTAAAAATTATCAAGCTGTACACTTAGTTTGTGTACTTTAATTGTGTGTAAATTTATCTCAATGAAAATGTAATGACTGTTCAAGAAAAAAGGATACAATAGGAATATAAAAAGGGCATATGTACATGTACAATAGAAAATTTAAAACTATGAGAATATTACGTAAAACTTTATACTAATATGTTTGAAGACTTGGATGAATTGTATAATTTTCTGCAAAATTGAGAATACCAAAATTGATTAAAGAAGACATAGATTATCTGATTAGACTTCTAACCATTAAGGAATCTAAACTAGTGGTAAAGATTCTCTCCTTCAAAACTACCAGGCCTGGCCTCGTACAGGGGTGAGCATCTGTAATCTCAGCTGCTTGACCCAGGAGTTCAAGTCCAGCCTGGGCAACACAGCAAGCCTTCATCTCAAAAAAATAAAATTTAAATACAAAAGCACCAAGCCTGTATGGTTTTATGAAGACGTTTTTACCAAACTTTCAGTCACCCTTATGTTTGTTTGTTTGTTTTTGAGACAGAGTTTCACTCTCATCGCCCAGGCTGGAGTGCAATGGCACGATCTCGACTTACTATAGACTCTGCCTCCTGGGTTCAAACGATTCTCCTGTGTCAGCCTCCTAAGTAGCTGGAATTATAGGTATTTGCCACCACGCCTGGCTAATTTTTATATTTTTAGTAGAGACAGGGTTTCACCGTGTTGACTAGGCTGGTCTTGAACTCCCGACCTCAGGTGATCTTCCCGCTTTGGCCTCCCAAAGTGCTGGGATTACAGGCGGGATCCACCATGCCCGGCCTCAATCACTCTTATGTAAACAGTTCTAGAAAATAGAAAATTAAGGAAATCAACTCATTGTATAAAGCTAGTATATCCTTAATAATATTAAGGTTGACCGGGTGCGGTGGCTCAAGCCTGTCATCCCAGCACTTTGGGAGGCCAAGGTGGGTGGATCACAAGGTCAAGAGATCGAGATCATCCTGGTCAACATGGTGAAACCCCGTCTCTACTAAAAAAAAAATACAAAAAATTAGCTGGGCATGGTGGCGTGTGCCTGTAATCCCAGCTACTCAGGAGGCTGAGGCAGGAGAATTGCCTGAACCCAGGAGGCAGAGGTTGCGGTGAGCCGAGATCGCGCCATTGCACTCCAGCCTGGGTAACAAGAGCGAAACTCCGTCTCAAAAAAAAAAAAAAAAAAAAAAAGTATTATCATTTTCCCAGTCACTGAGGCCTATGTTTTTTGTAAAATTTATAATAAAATACACATAACAGAACATATACCATTCAAAATCTTTTTTATTTTTTGAGACAGTCTCACTCTTGTCACCCAGGCTGGAGTGAGTGCAGTGGCATGATCTCGGCTCACTGCAACCTCCGCCTCCTGGGTTCAAGTGATTCTCCTCCTTCAGCCTCCCAAGTAGCTGGGATTGCAGGCACCCACCACCACGCCCAATGCACTCCTGACCTCTCTCAGCCTCCCACAGTGCTAGGATTACAGGTGTGAGCCACCATGCCGAGCAAAATTAATTTTAAGTTTACAGTTTAGTAATGTTATAAGTACATTTACATTGTTGTGCAACCAATTTCCAGAACTTTTAAAATCTTGTGCAACTGCAACTCTATACTCATTTAACAATTCCCCATTTCTTCTTCTCCCTGCCCCTGGCGACTACCATATTCCACTTTGATTCTTTTGACTATTTTAGATACCTCATATAGATGAAATTGTGTGGTATTTTTCTTTCTGTGACTGACTTATTTCACTTTGCATAATGTCCTCAAGGTTTATTTATATTGTTGCATATTGCAGAGTTTCCTTTCTCATTTTTATTTCATTTTGTAGAGATGGGGTTTGACTATGTTGCCAGGCTTGGCCTTAGACTCCTGGGCCCAAGTGATTCTCTTGCCTTGGTCTTCCAAAGTGCCGAGATTACAGGAAGGAGCCACCCACCCAGCCATAATTTATTTTTTTTATTTTTTTATTTTTTTATTTTTAAGACAGAGTCTCTCTCTGTCACCAGGTTGGAGTGCAGTGGCACCATCTTGGCTCACTGCAACCTCCCCTACCCGGGTTCAAGTGATTCTCCTACCTCAACCTCCTGAGTAGCT